AAAACGTGCTCATCCCTCCTCTTCTCCGCTCGACGACAGTTTTCTGACGGAAAATAGGAGAACTTCAGGAAAAACTACGAAAAAGTGGTGGAAAAATGGGGAAATTCTTTGGAAGACGATAGATAGGACGGAGAACGAGGAAGGGATCTTAAAAGAGCAGAGCGTTTTCGAGGGAAAGGTATTCTGCAAAAATTATGCCTTACGGTAGGATATTTCCTGGTAGGACTCGAAAGGAACTGAGTAAGTAGCTTCTCAGCTTCGATTTTAGGCCAACGTTTGAATTTGTGGCTGCGAAAAGGAACCGTGCCATAATGCGTGGTGTACAGAATGGGCCACTCGCGCGACGTCAGCGACGCTTCACCGCGGCACCGCAACTCGGATCTCTTGGCACACTCATTCCGAGATGGCACGATATCTAGCATAGCTCCGTATAAATATTGCTATAATTAGCCTTATCTACGGGCAAATCGCTTGTTCTCGGATGGGATACGAACTTACACCTGTGCATTCCAGACAGTATTCTTATCCACTACACTACCGAGAGTACTCCTAACAGATCAAGACGTATCACAAACCTCAGGTTTGCCAATTTTCACTCCATTGAATTCGAAGTTGGAGCACAAAATCTGCTCATCGGAGTACTGTGGATCGTCGTTGGCGTCATCCTATTCCAAATCCTTAACATCCTTCTTTCCACTAATTTGTGGACTCACCTTGTAGAAAGTCTCAATCTTTGGCTCGCTGAACCGATATCCCTCTGGAACGCCAGGGTTTCGCTTGAGGAACGATCCAGTGGCTATACGTCTGGCCACCCATTCAATGGGAATCATTTTACATTGCCTGGCAATAAATTCGCAATTGCTTGCAGCTGTGACAAAATGGGTTACAATGCCTGCAAAATATGACCCATTTATTTCAAGTGTAAACTGTTTGAATATGGTTTTATTTACCTATCTCTTTCAGAAGTTTAAAAACATTCACGGTGGTCTTATTGGCGATTGCCGCTTTGCCCTCCAAGTCATTTTTGCGAGCCGCATTAAAGGCTGTCAGTTGATCTTTCGAGCGGATCAGCACAAACTCCTGAACGTAAAATAGAAAAGTTGTGGAAATTACGACAGCGGCCGAAAATGGGCAGGGACCTGCCCAGGAAAAGGGCTGGGCCTTGCGCTTGCATTGACGGCACAGTCCACGCTGATCGCATGGGCGGTACATGGGCGGGAAGAGGATGCCATACTTTCTCTTCGGCGTTCTCCCTTCCCGTTGCAGCCTGGAGATCCACGTACACAGCTATGACGTGAACACTAGTGTTCTGTCTCCGCCTATGCGACCAACGTGGAGTATCTATGTAGTCTCCGCGCGACGCCGTGACTCGGGATTTTGTTCAACAATAATAGGATAAGCTGTTATTGTTTGATAACTGCTGTTTAACGCCGCAGTGCGCGATCCGAAAGTTATCACAAGAATGCTGAGTTGTGGGCAAAAGTCGGACCACGGACGGGATTCGAACCCGCATCTTCTGCTTACCGGCAATGAACCGCACTACCGCATAGCATACGGTTTTCAAGACTAGCAGCAGAATCCTTTAAGCTCTCACCTCATTCCCTTTGATTTTATAGATCACTTTAGTTTTACCCTCAGCGATTCGGGTAAGATTTTCCTCGTTGGCAACCCACGACAGCAGCGATTCCATTGCTAAATACAATTGGAGAAATTTCAAATAAAAGTTCGTGCTGCCCTCTCAGAATCTAGTGCCCGCTGAGAGCAGATATAAGGCTTCTAGAAAGCATTGGGGATTTCAGTTGTCCAATCGTCTCCATTTGTTTCTCAAGATCGGTGAACGGCATTCCAACCCTAGCACACTGTGGGCGGTCTGCCAAATCACAAGAAGTATTCTCTCTAAGGATCTCAAAAGTTTCTTTTGCTTTTTCCACCTTCTGTGTTCCTGGTGAACGATGTGAGTGCGGTGGCGCACTTATCACGCGCTCGGTCCAGGGATCAAATCCCCGCTCTGGCTCCCATCCAGGCCAACCAAGCCTTCTACCCTCCGAGGACGGTAAATTGGAACCAGACTTGTCTGGGAGGATAAAAACGCTTATGTGTGCATCGCGTGGCCACCGGCACTCATGTAATTAGAGCACATCGATTTCAGTGAGCAACGATTCCGAAGTTAGTGGGTGCACGTATCTCAAAAAGATGATCAACGCGAAAGACTATGCCTTTTTTTGCATCCCTCCGTGAAATTCCAATAGACAGATGACGATTTTCTTTCTGAGCTAACTGTTGGCGACTTTATAGTCCTGAAGTGGGCTGTTAAGCTTTATCGTACGAAACACCTGGCCCCCAATGCCGCTATCTACCCCAATTCCTTCTCTTGTAAAGGAAAGGAGTTGCGTTTCCGAATCGCTCCGACTATGCATGATCCTTCAATGAATCACCAAAGCTTGAGGACGACGCCTAATATTGGGCTGAAGCTTCGGTCGACCAGCACATTCAAAAATACGCTCACTGTTTTGGCCGTAGCTTTAAGCCCTATACATATTGCACTAAACTGCACGTAGTATTTTTAGGCAAATGAGGAGGTTGTCTATTGAAAAACTCATTACCATTATCGCCTATACACTACACCTTTTCAACACAACACTTCTCAGAACTTTCACCATTCATCATCTCGCTAAAATCACAAAAAGTTCAATTGAAGGCGCATGAAAACTGTGAACACCCACTCGCATTTGGAAATTCCACGATTTCTTATTTTAATGCAGATCTCATCCAACAAATGAACCACGACTGCCTTCCCATGCAGCTCAAACATGACCCACTTGCCGAGAAATTCTCGGGGTTCTTTAGGCAATTGTTCACAGTCTGCGACCTAGCGTTTCTCTGGAACGCAGCGGTTCAGCGAAAAGCTTTTGCGAACATATCGACTGGCGGTTGGGCGAAGAGTCTGGCGATGGGACGAAAGGGTTTTGATACGAATCGACGGGCGTTTCGCCAAATCGCGACGTTTTTCGCCTCTACGAAACCCTAGCTCGATCGCTCGCGTTTTTTTCCAGCGAATTCGATATCGCCATCTTTAGCTCGCTTTTCGCCGAAACCTCGCGGTTGGGCGAAAGCCAGCGTTGGCGTAATTCTCCACGAGTGACTATTTTTTGCTTTTCTCCCACCCGTCTTCGTCAGGGTCGCAGACTGTGAACAATGCCTTAGGAATGATGCGCCCAGCTTGCACTTGGATGGTCTGATCCCCTGATTTTATGACTCCAGATCCGCCATGGAAGCGTACTATAGGATCCGCATCCCAGTTTAAAAATCGGCGGTAACGCTCTTGGGAAAAAAAATCAAAGTACTCCTCGTACAAAAGGTAGGCAAAAGTCAGCCAAGTAGGGACAATGTAATTTAATTCGGTTAACCAACCCCGAAGTCCCGTTAAGAGTTTGGTTTGGCAAGGGTCTTTATCTCCACTGCGTGAATCGCAGATTTGTGAAGGACGTCAAATACCCTCCCTTAATATTATTACGGCCGCATTCATTTCCAACATGTATCTAGTTAGAGCAGGAGGGGCTTTTCGAGCTGGAATATGTGCTCAGTCACCACTCTATACTTCCTAAGATACAATTGAAACAGATTAAGCAATAAATTATTGAATACAAGATGTAAACCAAAGGGAAGATCCTGCAGAAAGCAGCCATCAAGTCATAAAAAAACGAAGTGATTGATCACAAGAAAGGGCCCTTGAATCGGAATGACATAGCTGAGACGGGAGGACAGTGCCACTATCGATAACTGAAGTGGGTGGACAGTATTGAAGTGATAGGTCATTTGAACAAGATCACTGATAAATCCAACCTTTGACCATGAGTAGTGCCACAGAACCACAGAAAATAGACAGTCGAAGAGGATCTGGAGGCTACCACCTGCAGTCTTGCGACAAGACTCGGGTGTACCTAACTGACAGTCGTCAACCGCCTGTAAGCCCTCGGCTATCAAAAGTGGTGGCTCGATGGATCACTCATACCATGACGGATGGCACGCGGCACAACCGGGGACCTATTTGTCAATTTATCTTCCCCACAAGGAGTCTCTGGGAAACTGGTTAATATAGTCAAGAGGTATCCTCTATGATGCTAATCTTAGCAGGCCTAACCCGGCATTCCTCCCAAGAAGGTTCTCCTGTGTTGCTTCTAGGTTGCGAAGAGAATTGTGTGTAACGAGTTGCTCCTGTAAGAACATACGGTCACCAATACCATTCATGCGACTCAGCTTCAATTATCTTGGGCTCGAGATTTTGCAGGTCTTCAATCTCCGTTTCCCTAATTTGTTCCTGTTCCCCCGAATTTGACGCCCCCCCCACCTCTTATGCAGTTGCTTTTAGAGTGTTTCAGCAGTTTTAAAAAGTGGGTTGATGGGTATCCTCACACAACCGAGTGCAGGAGTGTTTTGTAATGTACAGTTATTCAACGCTTTTGTGAAAAATTCTGGGGTCACCAAGGCGGTAAGGCGGAGGTGGTGTAGTGACAAGTGGCGCGCTTACCACTCGCGCGGTCCTGGGTTCGAATCCCAGGTCGACACCCGCCCAGGCCAACCAAGCCTTCTACCCTCCGGGGACGGTAAATTGGTACCAGATTCGTCTGGGAGGATAAAACACTGACTTGTACATCGGCTGGCCACCGCAAGTCATTGTATAGGCCACATCGCATTCAATAAGCCACTACGATTCTGAATGGAAGTAGAATGCGTGCCGCATCCCACAAAGGGATTGATCAACGGCGAAGACTTTATCCTTTATCCTTTAAGGCGGAAAACATGTTCGTTTAGCCTCCCCAGATGAACGTTTGGCATAGGCGTTGCGGCTCCGCGGCCATCACAAAAGCCATAGATCCCGTTCTAACAATTCTAAGGTAGCGGCGAATGCGACGACTCAGGCGCTGTTTATCGACGGGGGGCATTTTGTATTATAATTGCTTCCCTGGTTCCGGTTTACAAATCTCACTCTGGTAAAACTTGTGAACGCTTGTGAAGCTGGAGCAAGATCGTCTAGCCACCATCCTAAAACGTGTCAACTCGAAAAAAGGGTACCTAGATGGGTTGGCAAATCTATGAAAAGCAGAATGCCCCGTCGATAAACAGCGCCGACGACTCATTCAGCGCTTTGAGCCATCGCGTTGATCAGAAACGAACCTTTATTGAAGAGAGCATTTTAACTATAATTTTGCACTTTTTGGTATGGGTACTAGTACTGGTTTCCCTTGTAGGATTGAATCCCATCCTGACTCGTTTCCGAACCCCTTCAGGACATATATCAACGAAGCCGCTTACATGCTAGGGAATTCCTACAGGCAAGAATGAGCAAGAATGGCAAGAATGACTTGAACGTCCTCGCTGAGCTTGGTCCGCACTTACAGTACACGTGTACACAGTCAGTCCCCAATACACATTTTACTCGCTGTCAATTTTCAGACAAACTTTATTCTTTCTCACCGGTTTCAGTGCAGAAGCATTCTATAAAGCTGCAAGCAATGAGGAGCAAATGTCCAATTCCTTTCAATAGTCGGTCACAAGAATTGATTGAGAACAAAGTAAGCAGTATATACAAGCAGTAAGTCGAGATCCGAATCGATTTCTTGATGGTTAATCAATATTGAACAAAAGCACATAGCATAGAAGAGAAATGATTATTGCGTAATAAGAAGCACACCACGAGTCATGTGGGTCTTTTGGTCCTCAGTCATATACCGGTAGTGGGGGTAAGTGCTCAGGTGAGTATAACTACTCGTATTGAATTGCGTAATCATTTCCGATGATCGCCCGATACATTTCGCTGTCCTCGTCGTTGGGGCAGTCGTTGCTAACGTTGTTATGCCGCTCAGTACTGTTCCAGTATCCGTAGAAGAAGTACAGCACCAAACCTGAACTCATGGATTATCGCAGGATGGCATAGTTATGGGCAAAACCCTCACAACTACAGTGCTGTAAAGCCTGTTTCTCCCATGGCCATTTGTGGAACGCAGGAATGCAAGAGCGTCCACATCTGAGGCAACAAGAGGCGTGCCTGCGAGAGCGTGCGAGCGCAGACGAAAGGGAGGCAGAAAAGTATACAAAGAGAGGAGGCAATACGCAGCCGTGTTGTCTTTTTTTTAGTTCTCCGATGAGAGGGGGGAAGGGTGGAAAGTGCTGCACAATTACAAGGAACAATGATAAAAGGCCGATAATACGAAATAGGGCCGCCGTATGTGGCAAGATATCTCGCAGGTATCTCGTAATATGCCGCGGTGGTGGGCGTGGTGAGCGACGCCGCATCCGACAGACGAGTTATCCTGCCTGCCTTTCAAAAAATTGAGCTCTCAAGGGACGATAAGTTAGATTTCGCTCTGCATGGAGCCTTGCCTCTGCTTTAAGGCAGCGCCCACGTTCATTTGATGCGCCCTCTCTGGATATCATAGCCTCCCTCTATGAGGATGCATGCATCTAAAAAAGGCGAGAGGACAGCGACGTCTGCTAAGCAGAAGAGTCGGACGCCCCGCCCACCTAGGCAGCATAGGCTCTATATAGGCCGTTTCCAGATTTTTTTTCATCTTTCTTCACTACTGGATCACGCATTATATGAGCTCCATAACTCATTATTCTTGAAACGGGCTCAGCCTTTAAAGGCTAAGCCAAAGCAGTTATGGCAGCCAGGTGGGGGGCGGCATCCTCTTCACAAGCGGGTGGCGCCATCCTCTCGTATTTTTGAGCTGCGAAATTAGTACATCCTCCACCTTGTCGACAAAGCTACGATATCTAAGGAGGGCGTAGGAACATCAAATGAACGCGAGTGCTGCCTTTGAATTCGTGTGAGTTCTGCTGCCCCAACAATAAGCTGATACATGCCGAAAAGTTGCCGCGCGTGGCCGCACCGTATGGGCGTGACGAAGCGAAAAATTACAATAGTCGCAAGAGCGCATTCAAAAAAATGACTATTGCGACTGGAAATCCAGCGCGTGGCATATCTCAAAAGAGCCCTAATTAATACTTCATCCGTTTACCGAATTCTTTCCCCTTTTAACTCGGCTCTCTTCATAACTGAAAATCTTAGGAATAACCGTTTGATGGCTGATCGCTTACCAGTCAACAGCCAAATAGCATAGAGCGCTAAGGCGAAGAATTTCGTTGACGCCAAGGCGAAGATCAGTACAAACAACGTGAGATATGAGAAGTAGGGGAACATCGGAACCGACACTTGCCTCCTGCAACAGAACAATCTGCGTATTTGTTAGATGTTTTAATTTCCCCAGGAATTTGAGCTAGAAATATTCCTCTAAAAGGACCGGCGGGCTCATAGGCACCCACAGGTCCTACAAAGTGGCCTGCACGAGCTTCACCGGGCACCATTCCGTGCCCCTACTAAGCCCAACTGAGAAAAGCGCCTCATGCGCCAAATATAGCAATTTTTTTCCTGGAAGACCAGAGCTATTAAAAAATGATACCACTGAGGCCGCGAGATCGGATACGACGAGGCGCAGCCATTACTTAATATTTCTTGCTTTGTTGGCTCGAAATGTACCACTTTAGTATGAAAACGACTAGGTCCTGGTGCAAATGTCGCGCGCGAAACGATTTTTGCAACGACGCTTACGCCGCACCAAAGATCTCCCCACAATTACCCGGGTCGTACTAACCTGTGCAGGTAGTCATTCGTAGTCAGCCGCAATCCAAGAACTATCGAGATAAAAACGATCACAAAAAATAGTGATAAGAGCACTGACGACGAGACCTGCAGGAGAATATATAGTTTTTTTTTGGAAATGCATTTCCATACAATCGGCATCGGTACGTTCTTTGGAGGCCTTCCTGTGTGCATACTTTTCGGCGCGGCGCCAGCTCGTTTCCACCAGTCAGTACGACTCCAGGACGTGCAGGTACTGATAGAAATAGGCTGGCGCCGCTTGCTACTATGGGGCGGGCAGCCGCTGATAGAAGTAGGACGCTATGCCAATATGTATGTACGTAGGAACTCCTCCACCAGATAATCCGATAAACCCAGCAAACACTCACGGATTCGAATCCAGAGAGGACAGCAATTTGACTGAAGAGGATAGTCGACATGAGGAACAGAGCCAGAACCCATTTCGCCTTCCTTGAAGCGGGTACAATGATGTAGGGCGTGGAAGATCAACAAGAAGACTATGCTTACTTGTATTCATCACACGGATCAATCGGAGTCGATGACCGGCGATTGTTGTTGAACGTCTGCACATATGGTACCTCTGGCACCTCCCGTGCGAACAGATGTGGTCGAGGTGTTGCTTCTGAAATCGTTGACTTACCTAGGAACAAACGCCTCATTTGCTCTGAGGGAAAAGTTGTGAGACACTGATAATCTGAACGTTTTTCTAAGACATTCAGAAGGCCACTATTCCAATGGTTAACCTGCGTGAATTCCCTGTGTGGGAGCTGCGGAACTGTTAGAAAACCGGTGTCGAATGGGGTGGCTAACTCGGAGGTTTTCCACGCTGATTGGTCGGGAGGAGTCAGGTATTCATTACAACTTCATTAGCGCGCCCTACTGTTTACCGCCCAAGATGAAGCCATGCACCTTGAAAGAAGCACAATGCTCCTCTGTTTCTACCTTTACGATCAGCGTAGACTGGGTTTCAGCCCATGACGGGCCGCAGTCTTGCTATCGTCATCGCATCTCTGATTTGTGCTATTTCTGAAGTGCTATAATAGACACTTGTGCCCTGGTAGAAGATTTGCTCGGAAGGCATAAGGCCCACCCAATAGGGAACGTACGGACTTCGTGTACAGGACAGGCGACCACGAGGAGCTCCAAAGGAGCGGTGGAAGGACTTCAGCAAGAAGGGCCTCATTGAACTGAATGCCGCGGGTGAAGATGTCCTGGATAGTGGCTAATCCTGACAAGAACAGCGGAACCCTCGATGGCGCGGGACTATCGCTAGGGAGGAAAACGAGAAGATCTTCTTGTACCCCGGTTACGCCGCTAAATATTGTAATGGAGGGGTTTACACGTGTGAACTGGTCTAGTGGACGCCTCCATTTCCCCGGTGATTCTGCCACCAAAAAACAGGAAAGTCGTCACTTGTACGGTCGAAAAATCTTATCAAAGAATCAGCTGTGCGGATGAGGGCGGAATGTTGGAATTAACTGGGCGCGTATAATACAAACTGGATCGAAATGGGGTACCATCTAGGGCAGTAGGCATGTTTTTTTCTGTTTTTTTTTCTTCACTGTCGAGTTACTCAGCACCTTGTCGTCTGTATGCAAACCCCTAATCCACTATCTGTGATGGCGAATGATCGCGGACTTTGCCTTTGAAATGCCGTGACTCACCCTCATATTCGCGTGCCGAGCACGACTCAGCTATGCAGTTGTGATGTTCTGGACTTCTCTTTTCCTTCAATGTTCCCTAGGAAAAATTAGGCATTTTTACCGTTGACAAGGTGCAACCATAGAATAGTAACGTACCATAGAATTGTAGCGCGAGACGGATTTCACCAAAACAGGCGATTTCTCAGAGAGATCTTTCTCTTGTCTCTAAAACAGCGAGCGTTCAAAAGATCCATGAAGATCCACCGTCTTCCTCACCTTCTCAAGTCTGCGCTGGAGTCGCTGGGTCTCCCTGTTCGCCACCGCCATATGGACGAATACCGACGTATCGAAGGAGGTGTCGCTATCGTTGTCGTCGTCGTCGTCGTCAGTGTCTTGTATCAAGGCGCTGGTCACTATACTGTCCCCATCTCCACTCAGAGTGACTTGTTGTCGCTTCTTACGGATCGGTCTGAAGCACCAAGACATCATGAGAGGTGGACGGTAGGTTTCTTAGGAGATGGTATCTTACCTGTATTGGCTGGTCTCGTGTAGAATCCCCACAGGTTCCGCTCTGTAGTGTTGTAGAAACACCAAACAAACCTAGAAAAAATTCGCTTAAATATCCCTGGTGTTTATTTAAGCTTTATATTCTTACTTTGGGTAATTTTAAATAGCCAATTAAAAGATAAAGTCTTTGGTCGTTAATGAAGAGCTTTTGGAAGGTCCCCGTCAAAACGACATGCGGTGCCAGTGATGTACATTCAGCTTTATATTTTTTTTCTGTCATTCAGGGGGGACGGTCTGCATCAAATTTACCATTTGCACTTGCCACTAACCCATCCACAAGATGGTGTAGTAGTAGCAAGTTTCACATTAGATACTCTGAAGAATCATGTTGCAGTTTTTGGGGGCCAAAGTACTTATTTGTGTGAAAAAATGTGAGCTGAAATCTCACGATACGACCATTTTCACGAGATGTAGGAGACCCACATGCAGAAGAACGTTCTATTAATCATAATCCAAGAGACAAATGAAGATAAACACTCGACATCACTGTCTCGGCGAGTATATCATGCGTAGGAGGAAGAACGATCTGAAATGTTACCTTTTATTAATTGCCATGACAGAAGCAAACTAAACCCCAACTCCGTACTCCATTTCCCTATTTTTTTTTGCAGAAAGTAGAAGCGCATATTGTAATTATCCCTAGAGAAAAACCTGGGGCGCATGTTCAGATGCACAGGGGAAGCCTTCAACGCGAAACAACTTCTTGAGCCCACAAACTGTGAGAAAGTACCTATTCCGTTCAATCGCTATCATTTCTACCTCCTTATTTCTGAGAAAGGACAACAAGTCGTAAACTGCCAAAGCGCGCCTACAAAATCTCCTGTCTGCAGAGCAAAAAAATATGATCCCTCCATCTCCCCCCTCTGATACGACCTGACCCATAATACTACCCATCCAACTTCAAACTTCTTTTCAGAGAGTTCTCAGGATCCCCACTTCTTTTATCAAAAATGAAAAAGGGGTTGAAGTCAAAACATTTTTCCTGTTGAGGAATGATGGTAGTTGTTTACTCTAAGTGATAGTAGTACTGAGCAACACCAGATCATTCCTGTATAAAAGACTGTTTGTCGAGTATGGTTCACTTTTCGTTCGGCTTCGCTTCGACATAATAAACGACTACGCTGCTCGCGGTGTGATACACAACATTGTCGATCAGGAGCACCAGACTCCAGACCCACCCGTACCCAAGACTACTAGGAAACAAGCTTACCAAGCAAATCTCAAATGCCAACCTCAGACTCCAATCCTGCCCACCACCTTGATGTTACTATTATCTATGATACAACAACTTCAATTTCAGCATGAAGAGATGAAAATGCTGTTCAATTCCCTTGCGCCGAATAGGAATAATGGCAAAGACTGTCAGGATGGCCAGTATGACCAGTTGAATAAGGAAGTTCAGAAGTTCGAACCAGATGAAGAAACCGGACACACTTTCGACTACTGGTATAAAAGGTACGGCCCAATGATTCGAGAGTCGAGTGTGCCAGATAGCAAGAAGAGAGATTTTATTCTGTTGAAACTGGAGGATAGCGCGTATCGCAGGTATGCAGACGATATTCTTCCGTTACAACCGCACGAGATTGACCTCGATTCCACAGTAGCAAAGCTCCAAAAGTTATTCGCATCCAAGAAAACGCTAATTCGTCGACGATATGAGTGTCTGAAGATAACCTGCCCAGCACTGACTCCAGACAACATACCGTTTCGAGAGTACGCTAATATGATCAAGCGGATGGACGAAGAAGCTTGCTTGAAGGAAATGGACTACACGCGCGAAGACTTTGCAGTCGTCGAGGTCAGGACCCTCACTCCAGGAAGGTCGATCTTCGAATGCTGCGGTAGGCTCCATACGCAGCGAAGACGCGCCTGATCATCGAATATCTCTTCCTACTGTGAAAATTCACAGCTTGAGAGCCATAACGCCAATATGGAACAAACCATGACATCCATGGTCAAGAAAAAGAAGGTCAAAATGCTCTCGGATTCGAGACCACATTCATGAGCGCTTGCTCCAACGTTCAAACAGATCTCCAAGAAACCGAAAAGGCAGCACCACCGTCGTAAAAGGAAGCAATGCCGGAATGTCGCAACTTTTGCCCCTGAGAAAGCAAGAACATACGTCGATGTCGATGTCAGAGGACATCCTCTACGTTTCCAACTCGACACTGGAGCAGATATCACGCTGATATCTCGTCGAACATGGAAAAAGCTCGGATCTCCACCCTTGGAATCCTGTAATATGCCAGTTAAAAAATGCAGACATCACCGATGAGATTGATGAATATTCTCCACCGACTTCTCGTGAAGACCTACTAACGGGAACGAAATTAAAGAAATGGCTTTGTACGTACACCGGAAATACAAATCTAACTTGCGTTTGAATGTTATTCAACTTCCCGCATACAAGAGTTCAAAGCAAATAACCACTGTCGAATGGTGGAGCGACGGAATCCGAGACCCCACAGGTTAATATGCAGACCTGAAGAAGCGATACGCAGAAGTTTCACTGCAGCTTGTCATGCAAGAAAGGAAAGCGAAGTTGTTCTTGAAGGAAAACACAATACCTGTTTTCAAAAAGAAGCGACCAGTCCCTTATGCCTCCGTGCCAGAATTAGATGCAGAGATTGATCGTTTGGTCTCCACTGGTGTGATTCACCAGCTGATCATTCGGAATGGGTCGCACCCGTCGTTGCAGTCAAGAAGAAGAATGGACAGATTCGTTTATGTGCCGACTTCTCAACAAGATTGAACGACGCCCTACCACTGCATCAGCATTCATCACCTCCTACAGAAAAGGTGCGCAGAAGGCCAAATAGAGGACAGAATTCCACACAAATCGACTTGGCAGATGCGTATCTGCAGAGGAAAGTCGAAGAAGATTCGAAGGCGGTGTTGACGATAAACACTAGCACAGACCAGAAAGTCGATTTGGAAGGACAGTCCAGAAGGACGAAGAAATATCGAAACGTCACAAAATGCTTCAGGAAGGCAGTCAAGCTCCATCACGAAACCAGGAGGTCTGTCGATAAAATCTACGACAAAAAGGAATACCGCCTGAACGTGAAGAAAACGATTCCAACTTCACGTTGAAGAACCTTCATGTCAATTCATGTATGACTACTGACGAAGATCTCAATTTCGAGACAGACAAGTCTACTCAAATTCGACCAGATGAAAGAATCACTACTATAGAGCAGAGATACCTATGTCCCATGCTGAAAGAAAACTCCACAGAAGAAGCTGAAGAACGAAGCACGACCAGAAAGAAGACTTCGACCTATTCAAAGGACATACGAATCGAGATGCAGTCGCTGCCCGCGCGATACAAGCAAGGCGTAAAACACACCACAGCCACCAGCCGTCTTCAAAAGTGAATCCAAGAATGAATGAATATACATCATATTCGTAGGGGGGAGGTGTTGAGGAATGATGGTAGTTGTTTACTCTAAGTGATAGTAGTACTGAGCAACACCAGATCATTCCTGTATAAAAGACTGTTTGTCGAGTATGGTTCACTTTTCGTTCGGCTTCGCTTCGACATAATAAACGACTACGCTGCTCGCGAGTTGTATACACAAACAGTTCAGAATTATTATCCGTCTATTTTATGAAGGGGTTAGACTCGGAGGCTCAGTCACCTGCGCTCAGAAGAAACCAAAACCATTGGCTTCGAATTAGGTTTATTTCTAATACCTACACAACTCCCTTTGAGGTTACCAGTTACAGGCAATTACCGCCGCCAGGGACTAATTAGGCGTTAGGTCTCTATTCTCCGCAGATTTCAATATTCCATAATAACTAATCGTAAAATTGATTGATCGGTTTTGGGTATACATGAGCTGAAGCGCCTATATCTCAGTTAACCTTAGTAAGTTCAGCTGTTTAAATTTCAGCGCAGTTCGGCTTGCGGGGGCACTATATGGCACTTGCCTATTGTTAGCTAAGCTTGCACAGGTCACCCTGTGATCAAAATGGCTAATTTGTACCACTTCGCAGCTTTGTGAGACCTGTAAATTTTTTTGAAGCTGTTAATGTTACCCAACCCGAAAAATATTCCCCCTACCGAGCTAAACATAGTTTTTTTTTAAATGACTTATTTGACTACTTGATTTCGACTTGTGACAATGACTTCTTATCTGAAACAGAGTGCTGTACCTGAGCTTAGTGCATTAACGATACGAGATCCAGGCAGAAATGACGACAGCACAGCTCCAGAAAGGCCGCACACAGCCGCTACTGTGAGCATATATCTGAAAAAATACGTTTAATTTAAACCATAAGATCAGCGTCATCCGCAATCGACTTACAGTCTTGTTCGCTGCGGATGATGGGGCGTGTCTCAGGGTGGCTTTGGCGCGGCGCCTGTCTGTTTTTTCGGCAGGGACAAATCTGTATTATATCGTTCGTGTAGGGCGTTTCCCACCGACTATTGTCGCTTACCCGCTTTCAACAAGTTGCGGAGGAGGGGCT